CTTGGTTCTTTTCTTGCAAACGTTTCATTACCTGGCTAGGTAACATCTTCAGTGCACTGAATAAAGAACCAAGCTCAGAGAACCCCAAGGACTCCACAGAATAAAATATCCTTGCAACTCCTTCTGTTTGGGAATGTGGCAGGTCTATAGCCATTTTCCCCAACCGGGTGCCCTCCATATATTTTAGACAGCAACTTAAACTGAGTTGTTCCAGACTGCTGTTCTGCTTGGGCACTGAGATGTTCCCACGCCCCCCGCTTACGTCCAACTCAAGCCATAGCTTCCTTGATGGAGAATAATTGGCTATGCATTAAAGGGCAGGGGATTCCATCTGTAACATTTCATAAAAGCGTTAGTCTCGTATTTAAGGTGATACGAATTTCTCTTGAGGGGTTGCCTGTTGAATTTTTTTTTTTAAGTTTGTGTGGAAGTGTTAATAACGCATTCAGACACCTTAAAGTCTCAGGAATCTATGTATGCTTGATTCAGATTTGGCCATTTCCTTATTCTAACAAGAGGAGCAAGGGAAGACACCTCACTTTATACATCACAGGGCAATCATCACCCTGGATAGGCCGGAATGTAATTCGATGGAGAGATGGGAATTTTCTCCAGCACAAATGTGCTCTTGTGCCATTCTTGTATCTGAAATCCAAGCACAAACGAATGGAAATCTCTGCTTTGCTGCTCCCAAACCCTGGGTTACAACTGAACTCCTTTGGTGTGTTCACACACAGACTTCCCAGCTCAGAGGAGGACTCAGCACCTGGATTTGAACATCAGGCTAAGCTTGGCTAGTTAATTTTTAACGACTTGTTCTGAGGGAGCCTGTGGGTTCGGTTCATTCACGGATCCAGAGGTTAGACAAAATCAATTCCCAGAATGGATGCGCCTCGGGGATTCAGGTTTTCCACCACGGTCCCTCCCGCAGCATCCTTGGCTCAGATTATTTATAATGTAGATAGATGGCATTTGGTTTGGTCAGTGGCCAGATAAAACAGAGCTGTTGGTAACAGACGCACCAGCGTATTTATCCGCCTGCTCCTACAGTCAAATAAAACGCTGCCACCGTGCGGCTGGAACCCCCCACGGCACGCTGAGCAAGAAGCAGATCATCTTAGATTTCCCTCTCTGTGTTCAAGATCCAGGCAGCCGAAATGGTTTCTCCAGACCGTGGTGGCGTCTCGTCAGATTTCCTCTCTCCAGCAAAGCCCGCCCGTTGCCCCCCAGGGACAAACCGGGCAGCGAAAAGAGCCTTCTCTGAGTGTGAGATTCAAGTGGGATTTTAACCCCTTTCTTGCCGTGGGACCCTTCATTTTAACCCTTCTCCCTTTGGTCTGGCAGAAACGGTGGCTGCACATCTTCTGATGCAGGGGCGAGATTTTTCCTTGATCCGGCCGGGTTGTGTGCGTGGTCTAAATGCCAGCTGGACAGAGAGCCCCTAGACCTCGGAATGGGATGCATTGGCACGCAGGAAGGAGCCTCCTTCTAAAATGGGGAACAAGCAGACGATCTTTACAGATGAACAACTAGATGCCTATCAGGTGAGCTCGGCTGGCTTTGGTGGGCATGGGTGATGCTTGGGGTCGAGGGGAGGCAGGATGCGTGCTTTCGTTGGGCTTAGGCAGACGCGGACGAAGGCTGGTTGGTATCCTGGGCACAGAATCCCAGACGGCGTCTCTTTCTTGGGGTGGCAAAGAAAACCAGCCTTCTCTGCGCATGGATACTTTTCCTGCGAGGCTCCCCTGGAATGGGGCGCCTCCTTCGTTCTGGCCTGGGGGTCACGCTGTGCTTCGAGGCAGTTTTCCCAGGATAGCGAGAGAGAACCGGTTGGGGCAGAGGCTTTCTGCCTTTGAAAGCCGAAGGTCCGTTGGGTCGAATCCCGGGGGCTTTCGAAGAAAGGTGTGGTGAAGAAGGAAGACTTTGGCCAGCTCTGTCAGAGACCCACAGGGAGACTTGGCTTGGCTCAGGCGACGCTCCCTTGGGTGCGCAATGAGGTTGTTTGCAACAGCTGGCGGTTTGGGGAGGTGTCCAGATTTCAGCCCAGACCCATTTCAGGAGTGCAAGAAGGGTGCCGCCCCCACCCTTGATTTATCGCCTCTTACCTTTCACCCGAAAAGAAATTGGAGGCTAGATCCCCTTTCCAAGAAAGAAAGGGGGTCCTTCCGTAAGGGACAGAAATGGAAGATTCTGGGCCGTTTCTGCCGCTTTTCAGAAAAGATTGTGGCAAACTCTCGTTTCATGAAAATCTAACCCAAGATGGGATTCTGATGTTTTCACGAGCATAACTTTGAAGGGTGGTGCCATTGATAACAGTGGCCCTTACACACCAGGAATATGTAACAGCCCAACCCAGAACGCTGGCTAGACAGCAAGACCCTTCCCAAGCTCATTTTTTGGGGTGGGGGGAATCCATGGAGGTGGGGGGAATCACTGTTTGCCTTGCCATTGTGGACTTTCAGCTCTGAGATATTGCGCACTTCCCATTTTTGACTAAATCCAATTCCCTTTCCTGTGCTTCTTACAAAAAAGATGGAGGGCAGGTATATTATTGCATTCTCAGAGGGACATTTTTTGGCTGCTGGTGGAACTTCCATATTCAGGGGTAGTTTACCTACAAAGAGTGGGTGCTGGGGGGCAAACCGGGAAATCCTGTTGCTTCTCAGTCCTGCAGTGGGGTTCGGATCATTAGATGGATTGGGGGGGCTGTGCGTCCTTTGCCCACGTCTGATAATCCAGCAGTGCCATGAGGGAGAGACGGCTGGTGTAAGCAATCTTAGGAGTGCCCAGAATGACTCCCGAGCTTTGTAGTCCTGCCATAAAGCCCTCCCCGCCTGGGACAGGGAAACTTTGGTGCCCACACGCCAGGGCGATGGGTTTCCTTGCCCCAGAATGCCATTTCTCACAACGATGCGCCAACCTGCAGGATCATTGTGCCCGTGCCTCAACTGAATAATCCTGCTAGATTGGCCCTCCTGAGCATCAGTGCTCCCCGGGTCCTCCTTTGCTGAGCACCCAAGTCTCAGCGTCTGTCCACTCCCATCATCCGAGGTCCGGTGGAGCATCTCCTTGCCCACCATCTGCCCCACAGCCCAACGATAAACAGGAGCCTCTTTTTCAACCCAAAGACGAAATTAAATGGGGTGAGATGGCCTGGGGGGATCCATCTGAGGTTCTGTTTATTGGGTGATCGAGTTCTCCTGTTCCAGGCAGGAAAATAAAGAAATAGAAAGGGCCGTTGCCATGGCAAACTTCTGCATAATTGCCTTCCCTGT